CCTCACCACCAATTTGGATCACTTGTTCCCTTGTCCCTGGGTTTGTTAACACCACTTCCTTTCCCCCAACCTCCCCTTCTCCCATGTCCTTGTGTATACTTGTCTGCTGCTCTCTCCCCCTTGGCCCACCCAAAGCTTGCCCCATCCCTTACTCATTAGAAGGGAGGTGAGTGTGCAACTGCACACACACTGGCTTGCTACTCACACTCCTCCCCACAAGTACGAGGAGTGATAGTGTGACCATATACGGATCTGCTACTACTCCTGTCATCTAGTGGAGGTAGCAAGTACAACCCCACACCTGCTGTCCTACCTACCCTATGAGTGCCACTGCCTGCTTCTGTGCCATTGGACTGAACCAATGCCACCAAACCTGCCCTAGTCTGCCCCTCAAGACCAGTACAGAGACGGGAAGTCACACACCCTGTTGCTACCCTACCCTTCAGGAGACAGGTGCTGAGTGCACCTGAGTAGCATGTCTGTCTGGATACATTGAAACATAAGGCAAAATCAGGATGTACTAAAGCAAGGTGCTTCAAAAGGTTTGTGAGAAAATTCCATTCTATATATTTATGCACTTTTTGAAGCCCCCTCATACAATTAATAAATAATACCTCAGGAACAATTGGCAACATCAAATCACCTACAGAAGCTGGATGAGATGGCCCTACCAAGTAATAACTAAAAGCATCAGGAAACCTCTGAGGAAGAAATGGTACTAGAAGTACCCAATAAGGAATTCGAAAGATATTTAGGCCTTCCAAGAGATAAAAAGAAGGAGCCCTCTGGCACTGTAGTTTTTTTAAGTGCTGGACTGCAAACTTCAAGGTCAGTGGTTCAAATCCATCAGCTGCTTCCCAGGAGAAAGTTGAGACTATCTGCTCTGGTACAGATCTACAGTCTGGAAGCCCTGTATAGGGTTGCAGCGAGTCAGAATTGATTCAATGGCAATGGTGGGCTAAGAGATCAAGGAAAACACAGACAAAACTTTAGAAGAATTTTCCCATGGAAAACCATGGGAAGTACAAAATGACAAAATTAATAGACAATTAGGATCTATTCAAAAGCAGCAACTAGAAATTCAGAAGATTGACCCTGAAGTTTCAGATATAGATAACATACAAAATATAATTGAATTAGTGGAAATTTGAATCAGCAAAGTAGAGACATATCCCTTGATATCAATCTGGGAAGCCATCAGGAAAAAGAATGAAGTAAGCCGAAGAATTAGGTGGGTATTGTGTACCACTGTTTGGAATAATTTACATATGCTCAGAATTCCAGAATGAGAAATCTTGAAAAAAATTTTTAAAGTGTATGTGGTAGAAAAGTTCTCTAATATGGAAGATAAGTAACCATCTACAAAGCTCAGCAAACCTCCAATATGATAGACCCCAAAAGAAGATTGCCAAGACTTATGGTTAAACTTCAAAACCAAAGATAAAGAATCTTGGGAGCGATTTGGAAAAATGAAATGTTGCTTGTACAGGGAAACCAAACTAACCTCAGATTTCTCAGCAAAGACTATGCAGGCAAGAAGGTATATGATGCTTATAACCTAGAAAGAAGAAAGAAAACCCAGATTCAAAAATCATATCAGTGTAAATGTGGGGGAGGGAGGAGTGGAGACCCAAAGGCCTTTTGTAGACAGTTGTACATCCCCTCACAGAAGGATCACAAGGAAGAGACGATCCAGTCAGGGTACAGTGTAGCACAGACAAAACACACAACTTTCCTCTAGTTCTTTAATGCTTCCTCTCCCACTATCATAACCCCAGTTCTACCTTACAAATCCAGCTAGACCAGAGCATGAACACTGGTACAGATAAGAGCTAAAAACACAGGGAATCCAGGACAGATAAACCCCTCAAGGCAATAATGAGAGTAGTGATACCAGAAGGGGGAGGGGAGAGAGGGGGAACTGATCACAATGATTGACATATACCCTCCTCCCTGGGGACTAACGACAGAAAAGTGGAGGAAGGGAGATAGTGGTTGGTATAAGACATGAAAAAAAACCACCAACTTATAAATTATCAAGGGTTCGGGAGGGTGGGGGAGAGGATAAAAAATGAGCTGATACTAAGGGCTCAAGTAGAAAATGTTTTGAAAATGATGATGGCAACATGTACAAATGTACTTGACATAATGTGGCTGTATGTATGGATTGTGATAAGAGCTGTAAGAGCACCCAATGAAGTGATTTTTTTTAAAAAAAGAAGAAAGTTGCCAACCAAGAATTAAATGTCCCACAAAATAGACCCTCAAATACAATGGTGATTGTAGGATATTTCCAGGAACGGATTATTTTGGTTTGTCTTCTGTGACGTTGCATGTGCCAACATAGGAGGCAGGGGCATTAGTGAAGCAGGAAAGTGCCAGTACCACCGTGTTCAGAGAGCCGCCTGTGAGGATGCAATGAGAAAGTCGTTCCCACTGCTTGTCTAGAAGCGTGTTCCTGAGAGACCGTTTTCATGCTAATGAAGGCATGCTCACTTAGCATTTCTTTTCTCTTTTTTGGCGGTGCTGTTGCCTTTCTTTCATATTTTCATGTGTTGGGAGACTAACCAGGCAGCTGAATGACTGCCCAGGAGTGGAGCTTGTGATGAAGTAGGGAAATGAAATCACCTTTCAATGAGAATCGGTGAGATAAGGGCCACAGATGGACCAATTTGAGCCACAGTATTCATTTTCTCATTACATTTTAAAAAATTAATCACTTTACTGGGGGGGGAAATCTCTTACAAATCTTATAACAATCCATTCAATAGTATTAAGCATACTTGTACATATGTTGCCATCAACATTTTCAAAACAATTTCATTTTACTTGAGCCCTTGGTATCAGCTCCTCTTTTTTAACCCCCACCCCCTCCCACCCTCATTTTGCATTTCTGAATTTTGGTGTAGCTTGTGGGAAATGACTCATTTTTAGTAGTAGAGTACCCAGGGATGAGATGACACAGTAAATTGTGGAAGAATGCAAATACAATGTCCAATGTAAATGAGAGCTTTTCTCTTTCCCAGGGAGGAGAGAGGCACCTGCGTTGGAAGCCTGGTTAGAACAGAACATGCAAAGATCGTTTGTGATGGGCAATACTTACATACTTTGCAACGTAAAAATGGCGCCGTGCCCATCACAAATCTAATGGCAGGTGACAGAATTGTCGTAAGTGGAGAAGACAGAACACTCTTTGCTGTGTCTAAAGGATTTGTAAAGAAGATTAACACGACAACAGTAACCTGCTTACTAGACAGGTAATGAAACATTCAGTTTTTTTTCATAGTAGCAGTCTTGATCTATAGATCACATACCAACTATTGTAGCCATTTAAGCTATACAGTTCAGTGGCTTTTAGTATAATGTACAATGTTGTGTTGTCACCACAATCAATTTTTATCACCCCACAGGCATAAGGAATCCCTATATCCCTTAACAGCTCTCCCTTTCCCATTTCCTTCTGTTTCCCCAAGCTTAGGCAATCTATTCTGTTTCTGTGATTTTACCCACTTTGGGTACTGATTTAGATGGGAATAATGTAATATGACCTTTGTGTTTGGTTCATTTCACTTAATGTTTTCAAGGTTCATCCCACTAGTCTTGCAGCAGGCACGTATCAATATTTCACTTCTTTCTACTGCTAAATAAAGAATGTATTCTATGGGGACGTCACCTTTTACGTACCTGTTCACCAGTTGATAGATATTCGAGTAGTTTCCACATTCTGGCTGTTAGGAATAATGTTGCTCTGAACAGATAGACGTGCACAAATTTTTATGTAAACTTGTTTGGAAATGGAATTACTGGGTCACATGGTATTTCCATATGTTTATTATGTTGAGAAGTTGACAAAGTGCAAAACTCTTCCTTCCTATTTACTAAACTGCTAGTATGGTCATAATCTTATGGTAGACCGAATAGATGTCTTCTGTTAGCTGCAAGGCTTTTTCTCCTTAGGACTTCGGGCACTGACCATTCTGGTCTTTCTCTCTCTTTAAAGAGAATGCCTTTTCCATTCATAGTGGTGTAATAGAAAGTATACTTAGTTTTTAACAGTGAGCAGACTTAAGTAAATATCAAGTAAATTTTTGAATACCAAAAAGGAAAGAAAGAGCAAACTCACTGCCATCATTCTTTCCCACTCACAGTGACCGTTTAGTGTAGGGCTGCTCCTGCGGCTCCCCCAGATTGTGACGCTTAATAGGAGTAGAAAACCTTGTCTTTCTCCTGTGGAGAAGCTGGTGGTTTTGAACTGCTCACCTTAAGAGTGGTAGCCTAATGTAGTGTCACTAGGGTTCCCTAAATATATGAGTGAGTGGTAGACATGAAAATCTGTGGCAGAGACCAATATCCATGTACACCAGTATCCATATTTTCATATCTAGGAGGTTCTGTTTTCTCAGCCTGGCTTGCAGTTAGGGGTAGACATGCCTCCCCCTTTCTTAAAGGATGGTCATTAGCCATTGGGACTCAGTGATCTGAGTAACCATAATCGAAATGTCCAGGGTTGTTCTGGTATCAACCACAAATCCTACTTGAGACATTACCAACCCTAGTCTTGGTTTTGTATATGATCTGTGGTATGTAAGCCACAACATTCCTGTCATCTACTAGGTATACCTGTAGTCCCTTTCTGTATTTATTTAGTGCCCTGTATCAGGTTCTGTGTAAGCCCTAAGGAAGAGTTTATAGTCTTGTGGGCAAATACATACACATTCGCAATCTATTATGAGGTTTTAATTGATGGGAACACAATGTGTCATTCAGCCTAACTTTAGGTGGTTCAGGGTAGGCTATTTGAAAGAACCTGGTGAGGCATTGGGAGAAGAGCATAGAAGAAATGTGTTCAGCAAAGGGATGTTGGGTAATATAATGTAACATGGAGTCCTTAGGGAAGGGAAGGGAATTCAGTATTCAGAATACAAAAGAGAAGTCAGGGTGTGATTAGACAAGTTAGGTCAGAAAGGGTCTTATATACCATGTTGAGTTTAGACTTAATTAGGATGTGATGAAGGGTTTGAAGCAGGAGAATGGTAATAATTGGATTGGTATTTTTTCCTGGCTGCTATGTGGAGAGTAGAATTAATGGAGGCAAAACCGAAAGCAGAAAAACCAAGATGCTGTTCCAGTTTTCAAGCAGGAGGTTAGAGAGGGCAGGGTACTGTTGGCAAAGAAACAGAATGACTGAGATTGATTTAGGGACTAACATTGGCCAGCATTTGGATGCTTACTGCACATCCAGATTGGCTAGAGGATGAGGAGAGATTCAGGGTCAAGAATGCAATGTAGATGCAAGTGCCACCTCACGGTGAGAATCAGGTTCTTCAGGGACAAGGAGAAGTTCAGTTTTGAATATATTGAGCTTTCACAGCCTGGCTTTAACTGAGCCTCGCTGCCTGTTGAACTCTGAAATTGGAAGTTTGGATGAGAGCCACATGAGAGGGAAGTGAGGTGAAGACTGAAGATGCGGATGTAGGGTTGTAAGCCATGTGAGATTATGAGACCAAAGGAAACTGACTAGAAAAGGCGCTGTAGTGGGCCAGTGAAGGGACCCTAAGGAGTCCTAGAGTTTAAGGGGCAGAGGATTGGAGAAGACCCTTGGTAAACCACTTGCTCTTCAACTTGAGGAGGGAGTAACTGGGTGCTCAATATTTGTCCAGAAACAGGAAGTCCAGGTAAATGAATATCCAATAAATGTTGCAGATTCCTGACTATTATCATCTGTGACCTTTCCACTAGTCTGGGGCCTCATGCAGGAGTCCTGGTGATGTTGTGGTTTTACATTGGACTGCCATCCCCAAGATGAACAGTTTGAAACCACCAGCCACTGCTTGGGGAAAAGACAAGACTTTTTACTCCTATAAAGAACCACAGTCTCGGAAACACACAGGGGCAGTTCTGGCCTGTCCTATGGGGTCACGATGAGTTGCCATTGACTCATTGGCAGTGAGTTTGGTTTAGGTTTGGGGCCTCATGCTGTCTTTGATTGCTAAGTGTAAATTAGGGCCAGGTAGTCATTCAGTAGTTGTTGTGGTTCAGTTACTCTTTTAGCAAATGACAACATATTTCTTCTACAGAGCAACTGATATTGTTTAAGAAAAAGCATTCATGTACACTGTTTTGCTGTTTTAGGGACTTGTCGACACTTCCAGAAGCAACTTTGTTCAGATTAGACCAAGAAGAAAAGAATTGTGATAACGTTACTCCACTGGGAAATCTTTCTAGACTGATGGAAAACACTTATGTCAGGTATGTGATAATGAATGGGTTTGAATTGCTCCCTGATTTTCAAGACTGTTACTAAAAGTCTTTCTCCTTCTAGCAAAAAACTTCGGGATTTAATCATTGACTTTCGTGAACCTCAGTTTACATCGTACCTCAGTTCTGTTCTCCCACACGATGCCAAGGATACAGTTGCCTCCATTCTAAAAGGTCTGCAATTACCAGCAGCTTCCATGACTTTTTCTTGATTCTATGTATAGTTTAAATTATACTACGGTCTAGTATTTTAATACTTCATTAGACTTGCAGTGATAGCTCTCAGCCTTTGGCACTAGTGGTGAGAAGATGTCTAAAAGCTTGTGGAGTTACACCTTTCCTCTAGTTCTTTAGGCTTCCCCTCCACTCTCATGACCCCAGTTCTGCCTTCCAGATCCGGCTAGACCAGAGCATGTGCACGGGTACAGATCAGAGCTGCAAACAGATAAACCCCTCAGGACCAATAATGAGAGTAGAGATGCAAGGAGGGGAAGGGGAAGGTGGGGGAGCAAGGGGGACCTGATCACAATGATCTATAACCCCTTCCCTGGGGGACAGACAACAGAAAAGTGAAGGGAGTTTAAGACATGAAAAAAAAAATTATAAATTATCAAGGGTTCTTGAGGGGGAGCAGGGGGACGGAGGGAAGGTGTCAAATGAGCTGATACCAAGGGCTCAAGTAGAAAGAAAATGTTTTCAGAATGCTGATGGCAACAAATGTACAAATGTGCTTGACACAGTAAACTTATGTATGGATTGTGATAAGAGTTGTATGATCTCCCAATAAAGTGATTTAAACAAAAAAAAAGTTTCTGGAGAAATGGAATTAAAAGCTCACGGAATTTTTAGATGAACTTTTTGAAACCCCTTCCTTTTAGGTCACCATAACATGTGCTCACTCTGCAAAGATGTATTCAAAACCACACGAGTTTAGAGACTGCTTTCCTTACGGTTGATTTACCTATTGAAATTAACATGGTTTGTTTCTGTTAAAATTTAAATGTAGGTTTGAATAAACCTCAGAGGCAAGCAATGAAAAAGGTACTTCTTTCAAAAGACTACACACTCATTGTGGGTATGCCTGGAACAGGCAAGACAACTACAATATGTACTCTTGTAAGTTTATTTTTTTCACTTAGATACTAAATATTTACACCAGCTTCTTGGTTCAGATGCTTGGTGTCCAAAAGACTGATACTCAAAGTGTCTTTATTTCAAATGAACGTTTTAAATGACTTGAGGAATAGTAAAGTTGCATCACAAATAACTATAATCACCTTGCTGATTTCTTGCATTTAAGATTTTGTAAGGACTCTTTCTACTGATGGCATGTATATAATTTTGCGTTTTTTTTTTCTCTCTCTTTAAAAAATGACAGACTATGGTTGAAACAGATTGTTTTGGGATTTTCCCCACCATTTCAGTATATTTCTTAGTAGTCTAGAATAATCTTAATGATGGTAGGAAATATTTATCAATACTATGTGCCAGATACTTTGGAAAGTTCACATGTAATTCAATTTTGTTATTACTAATAATGTGTTCTGGAGTTCTGGTGGTGTAGTGGGTTACTCATTGGGCTGCTAATGGCAAGGTCCACAGTTTGAAACCATCAGCAACTCCACAGGAGAAAGGTGAGGCTTTCTGCTCCTGTGAAGACTGACAGTCTCAGACACCCACAGGGGCAGCTTTACTCTGTCCTATATGGTTGTTATGAGTCAGGATTGACCTGATGGCAGCGAGTTTGGTTTGGTTTTTTGGAACAATGTGTTTTAACGTATTGTCCTGTGCCATCCATCCTGACTCAGAGAGACCCCACCTGCTACAGAGTAGACAGGTGACATGGGGTTTTCTTGGCTGTTATCTTTATGGGAGCCGATTATCAGGCCTTTTCTTCCATGGTGGCTGCTGGTGGCCTCAAACCTGCAAGTGTTTGAGTGTCAGCCAAATGCAAGCCCTATGCACCACCCAGGGACCAACATATCCTTAATAGCACGCAATTATAATGCCATGTACTTCCACAAAATAGTTTTGACTTCATGGTCTCCAAAAAGGTCACTTGGCTCAGCCCTTAGGTATGCTTCATCTTTTCTCATTCTTTTTGAAGACGATAGGTATATAAAAAATAATCTGGGACAAAATAACAATTTATAAATTATCAAGGGCTCATGAGGGCAGGGGGAGCGGGGAGGGAGGGGGAAAATGAGGACTTAATGCTGGAGAGGAAATGTTTTGAGAATGATGAGGGCAATGAATGTACAAATGCGCTTTACACAATTGATGTATGTATGGATTGTGATAAGAGTTGTATGAGCCCCTAATAAAATGATTAAAAATAATAATAATCTGGAATAACAAGTAATGCTGTTTACTTTCTCTCATCCATTATTAGGTACGAATTCTCTATGCCTGTGGCTTTAGTGTTTTGCTGACCAGCTATACACACTCTGCTGTTGACAATATTCTCTTGAAGTTAGCAAAATTTAAAGTAGGATTTTTGCGTTTGGGTCAGACTCAGAAGGTTCACCCGGATATACAGAAATTTACCGAGGAGCAAATTTACAGATCCAAGTCCATTAAATCTTTATCTCTTCTGGAAGAACTTTACAATAGTCAAGTAAGTACAATGGTTATATAATAATACAGCCATTTCTTTTTTTCTTTTTTTTTTAATACTGCCATTTCTATAGCCAGAATGAGAGGAGATATGAGGCTCAGGGAAAGTCATTTGGAATGACCAGATTTATCAATTATTAATTCATGTGCCCCACAGTACTCTCCAAAAACAAAACAAAAACAAAATCTCACTGCCATGGTGTCAATTCCAACTCCTAATAACCCTGTTCCACAGAGTAGAACAGCGCCCGTGGGTTTCGGAGAGTATAAACCCTCATGCAGTGAAACATCACTTCTTTCTCCCTTGGCGCCTTTTGAACTGCTGAGCTTCACGGAAACTCACTATGTCACCAGGGCTCCTTCATCACAGGACTAGTTTATTCATTTATAGTCTACTCTGTGAGCTAAAATGAGGTTTCTAGCTTTTTATTTAGTATTCCCCTCTTATAGTTTCAAATAACCTTACATACTATTAATGTTTTATTAAGTTTGATTCTGAAGCAATTATACTTGGGTGGTATTATAATAAGTATTTCTAGGTTTTTCTGTAGAACCTACTGTTTATCTTACTTTTTAATTGTCTGTATGAGTGAGCTTAGAAACGTTTTTGGACTATTTCCATTACCTTTTAATTCATTTTTTTCCATGAAGTTTTTCAAGCCTTATTGGTATTTTTCCAGAATTCCTCACTAAGGTTTCCTTAAAAAAAAAAAAAAAGCATTGCACCTGAAATATGGAGACTTACTTAATAGGCTATTCCTTCTATTCTAGTATTAGTAGGCATCTAGCTACATTTTATCTATACCAATTATTGATATCATTTAAAGTGGATAAGATATATGTGGGTTGACTTAAAAAACTTTTTATTTTAAAATAGTTGTAGATTTGCATGCATTTGTAAGAAATTTTACAGAGAAATCCTAAGTATCTTTTACCCCAAATAGTAACATCTTGTCAAACTGTAGTTCAATATTAAAGTTCAATATTGACATTGATAGTCTAGGTTTAAATCAGTTCTGTGGCCACTGGGAACCCTCACACTGCCCTTTCATAGCCACAGCTGTTTCTACTGTTTCATTCCCTCTTTGACTCTGGCAACCACTAAAATGTTCCCTTTTTTTATAATGTTTTCCTTTCTAGAATGTTACGTATATGGGATAATAAATTATGTAAGCTTTTGTGCTTGATGTTTTTAACTTAGAAAAATTCGCTGGAGATTCAGGTTGTTTTGGGTATCAATAATTCATTCATTTTTATTGCTAAGTATGAGGGTAAGCCCAACAGTATTGTCATAAAATCATAGAAACCTTTCTTTAATAAAACTACCAAATGTAAAGTTACTGTTTCTCCACATAACCTGTACACTTCCGAAGGTGGTGTTTTCATCTGCACACTTCAGTTCACGCCAGGTCAAAATGGGAGTGCGGTCACTCTTGAGGGGCTGCAATTGTGTTCCTTTGTAATGTTCTTTGAGTTTGGGGAACAAAAGTAGTTTCCAGGGGCAAGATCAGGGATGTAAGATGGAGGAGGTAGGCAACATTTCCACAAGAAAATCTGGTGTGACAGTCTTTTGAAGAATGAGCAAATGCATTATCGTGAAAGTCTGGAAGGACAAGGGTGTGGCTGGGATAAGGCTTCCCATCAAAATTATCACAGGACAGCTCTTGGTGACCGCAAAGACATAAGTAGGTGTATTGTTGGGTTGGAAAAATAATTCCTTAGTGCAACTTTCCTAGCCTTTTTCTCACCAGTGCAGTTTTCAGGTTTCTTAAAGTTTCTCTTAATAAGCTCTGTGCTTGAAAGTCTATGAAGATGACTAACTCCATAACCTTCTGTGCTGATTTCTCTGCCTTGAACTTAACTGGCCCAGCAGATCCCTGAAGGCCACTGTTTTCAGTGGCCTTTTTTTAAGGCACCCTACGGAGACTGAGACAAGCGAACTACGAGAGACCTTGTCAGCAGTCATCCACTGGTTGCAGAGACGTGATTAAGCACATTTTGTTTGGAATGTGCATGTATAAACTGGACCCTCGGTAGGAGTACTTTTTGACTTACCCTCCTATTGCATGGTACAGCTTTGCCACAGTTTGTGTATCTAGTCACTTGTTGAAGAACATCTGGATTGTTTGGTTTGGAGCTATTATGAATAAAGCTACTATGAACATTTGAGTACAGACTTTTATGTCATTACAAGTATGCATTTCTCTGGAATAAATGTCCAGGATTGCAATCACCTTGTCAGTTGGTAGTTGTATATTTATTTATTTTTTAGAACTCTGTTTTCAAAGTGCTTTTACCATTTTATATCAATGTTTATATCATCAGATTCCATCAGCAATTTATGTGTGATATTGGTCAGCATCTGGTGTTGTCACAGTGTTTCATTTGAGCCCTTATGCTAGATGTGTAGCACTGTGGTTTTCATTTGCATTTCGCTAATGGTTCATTAGAGAGGGAGGAAAATGAGACTGTTTGCTCTGATACAGATTGACCAAGCCTCAGACACACTAGGGTTTCGATGAGCTGGAGCACACACAATGACAGTGGGTTGGGTTTTGTTTTGCTTTTGAATGACTAATGGTGTTTTCATATATGCTGATTTGTCATCTGAACATCCTCTTTGGTGAAATGGCTGTATGTTTTGCCCATTTTGTAGTTAGAACTTTTTAATTGATGTGTTTTTAAGAATTCCATATTCTTAATAAATACTTTGTTACAAATAGGTTGGGGGTTATGTGTTCTTTATAGTCTGGTTAGCAAACTTTTGTTGGATATACATATTTCAGATATTTTCTTCCAGTTTTCATGGTTATAGTAGGGTGTTGCAGAACATATTTTTTCATTTGATGAACCTCAGGCTCATGTGTTTGATAAATGGGGTGTGTGTGGCCGTTCCTTACTACCTGGTGGTTCCCTACTTGGCCTTCTCCAGCATTTGTTCCACAACCACCCTTGTGAGTGTGGCTGGTTTTTGCTCTGTGGTGGTGTCTGTCTTTGGGAAAGTGGCCATTGTGTGAGTGGCATCCATCCACTCTGGCACCAGGTTCCCTAAAAAGTATTTAGGTAGTCCTATCCTGGTACAAACTGGTTTTTTAATCTTTTACTTTTGAAAGTGAGAAAAACAAGTTATAGTTCTTGTACATATGAAGTAACGGATCTTTAAGAAAAATTTTAATTTGTTTTTAGCTTATAGTTGCAACAACATGCATGGGAATAAATCATCCCATTTTTTCCCGTAAGATGTTTGATTTTTGTATTGTGGATGAAGCCTCTCAAATTAGCCAGCCAATCTGCCTGGGACCACTCTTTTTTTCACGGAGGTTTGTGTTGGTGGGAGATCATCAGCAGCTTCCTCCCCTGGTGCTAAACCGGGAAGCAAGGTAAGTAGATATTTAACTTCTGAATTACTTCTTTTCAAGGGTCAGTTTCAGTACACAAATAAGCATAGATTTGATTTGTTGACAGAGCTCTTGGCATGAGTGAAAGCTTATTTAAGAGGCTGGAACAGAATACAAATGCTGTTGTCCAATTAACTGTGCAGTACCGAATGAACAGGTATTTATTAGTGTGTCAGCCATAAGTGAATTTCACACTGATTCTTTAACACGTGAAAACTAAAATTATTTCTGTAATTCCCTTAGTAAAATTATGTCCTTAAGTAACAAGCTGATATATGAGGGAAAGCTGGAGTGTGGATCTGACAAAGTGGCCCATGCAGTGATAAACCTGCCCAAAGTGAAGAATGTGCTGCTGGAACTCGATGCCGATTTTCCTGAAAATTCTTGGCTTAATGAAGTACTTGAGCCAAACAATCCTGTTTGTTTTCTTAATACAGACAAGGTAAAAAGTAGAGTCTTTCCCCTTTATTTTTTATTCTTTTTGATGTATCATTTAAATGTGTCCATCTGCAGTCGTGGGTGCTCTACTGGCGTTTATCAGTTACAAGGTAAAGTGAGTGCACTTTTACTTGACACACAAAGACTCTTTTCTTGCACACAGCGTTTGGGGGAGGAACTTTCATTCTGGAAGTTGGTCGATGTCAGCTTAGACCTGTATTTTCCTTTAGATCTTATTTGTTTTATTGCTGAGAATATACAAAGCCAAGCATATTCACTCGATTCTTTGTGCACAGTGTGAGTTGTGAATCCATTCTCACCTTCCTTTACTGAGTAGTTGTTCCCTCCTTGTTAACATAAATTCACTGCAATCCCCTTTCCCCCCAAGATTCCTCTTTCAAGTTGCTGCTGTCAATTTCATCCTTTACAAATCTGCCATTAAGTAGCTTTACTAGGACTTTAAATGACCTAATTTATTTCTAGGAAGAAAAACGTTTTTACTCTGTATGCTTAACAGATTTATATATTACTTCTCCATTACTTTATTTTGTGTAAGTTTAAATAAAAATTATAAATATGCATATTACTCTAAAATAATTATGTTATCTCATTATTTGTAGCCCTGGGTGGTGCAGAGGGCTTACTTATATGCTTGGGTTAGGGCTTAAAATTCTGAGCACCCTGGTTTGACAAAAGAGTACGAGTGGGAGTGACTGCCTAAACTCCATTTGTGGAGTCCCCGTGAATTGAATCTACAATGAATGCTTTCTGTTCAGTAACCAGGATGTAGATAATCTTGTCCTCAGTCTGTTAGGGTAAGGGGGTCCCCAACACTCAAATGGGTCTTCAGGAGTGATTTAGCAATTGTTGAAAATATTAAAGACAGACAGACAGATAGCGGGACACAGGGGTTCTCATCCCATGTCAGGACTGAGAGAGAATGTATTTTCCAATTAATATATATAATGGGCCTTACAGATCTTTCATAAGGCACGCACGTCATACAGCTGCATATTACATAGTTAGTGGGTAATATCTCAAGCGGGTAACATAAATAAACCAGTAATGCCTTGAGTCATTGTCTTGATCTAGTGCTAGTTGACCTCAGGCCCCCCTGAGCCCCCACCAGGGCTAGTTATCTCTGATCAGTATTAGCAAGAGATGTCAAAACAGAGTTTGCTACATTTTATGGAAGTTGGTTATAGAACCTGATTGCTTTTATCTACAGAAAACCTTCAGGCATTGTTAAGTAGCCAGACACAGAAATTATTCATTTTATGATAGCTCCTTTATGACAGTTCTTTTATGGGGGGTTATTGGAGGGACTGTGTCCAGTCATGAGAATGTATAGTAAGATTTATTTATATGTCATAACCATGAGTCTTCCCCCACCAAAGTCGGCTTTCCAGACCTGAAATTATGAGCATGGATGATTTAGCTCCGTTACATTCTCATCACATCCCTCAGTTTGCCACGTCAGTCAGATTGTCAGTCAGACAATCCACTGTGGAGAGTGGATTGTCTCCTCCCGGTTCAGGCCAGCCCTGGGAAGGGCATTCCCTTGCTTTTAGTCTTCCTGGGTATGTCCTTGATGAAGGTCACCATGCTGGACACAGTATGGGGGTTGCATAATCATGAGTCATGCTTTATGGTCAGAAGGCCCTGGACCAATCTTGCGACCTCTTCTGTAATGATGTGCATTTCCAAATCATGGTCCCTTCCCTGCTTCTGAGGTTCCACCTGTCACTGTGATGTATTGATCTGCCACCAGTCATGCTTTTGTGACACCTTCCTTTGCCCACCCTGACCCTATTTATCTCTTATCTCAGTTAGGACCTTAGGACACCATTTCAACTTCGTTCTGGTGGTCTTCCTCATCTGGATTATGTATGTGTGTCTTTGTGTTGTCTTTGTCTCTTTTAAGACTTCATAAATGCTCTCTTTAAATTATAATTGAAATGGGGTCTCTTTTGTACCCTAAAACACTGCTAACATAAGGTTGGTACCCTGGAAAAAAGGCATGGTGATTTACTTCTGAAAAAAATCACCAGTTAAAAATCTTAATTGTTCACAGTTCTACCCTGACACACTTGGGATTGCCATGAGTTGGAGGAACTGGGCAGCAACTGGTAGTGTGTTGGTTATGAAGATGAGTGGAGCCAGCTGGTGGTTAAAAATAGGGCCTTACATGTGCTTCAGAGAGTTTTACTTCTCTTGAGTAAAGCCCTTAGTGTTTCAGGGCAAGAGTTTGATTATTTAAGGGCAGGTGTACTTTGAGGTTTTTCTACAAAAGGTGGTCCCATGAGTGATTACCCTTAGAAAGCATAGTTCCTGTGAATTACAGTTATCGACATATCTACCACATAAATGATGGCTACAGGAGCCCCGGGATGGTGCTCTTCATCAAGGACATAATCAGGCAAGCCCTAAGGAAGACTGCCTCTCCCAGGTCTGGCTGGAGAGGGATTGGATGTAATCCACTTTCTAATGCTCTCTACCTGAGGGCAAGGATATTCATTTCTTGGTCAGTCATCAGAAGGGATCTGGAGGCTTGACCCATTTGGTGACTCTGCAAATGGATTTCGGACTTCACTGTTGTTCATGCGGCTGCAAGCGGAGGTCTCAGCATGCAGGCTCCTCACAGTTCTACTGATCTCAGGATGGTGCAGGCTCTAGTTCATGGGGTCAAGTTTTACTTTTGTCTAAGTGCTCCCTGAGTGGGCTTTTTTCCCCCCACTCTCCTTTGCTTAGAATCTTTTATTTTTGCTATTCAGGTTTTCCCTTTGTTGGCATCAAGATTCCAAATGAGTTGAGTTGAAAATAAACTTGGGGATCTTAGGGATGATATGGAAGCAAACTAGTCCTTGCCGAATTTTACCAGATGTAGTGCAATCCAGGGAACTTTATCTTCATTATTTATACAAGACGGTACCCCAAAAAACCAGAATTGCGCTGGGCAGTTCGGACCTTTCTCAGTGTGCATTTCTCCTGTTAGGTGAGCATCAAGCAACTCCAAGTTAGTGCCCCCGGGGGCATCGCCTGGGAAGGTTCTTTCTGGTCACAAGAAATTTTTTTGTAAAAAGTTTCGTTTGAACCTTGTTTTTTGATGGCCAATTTAAGAGAACAGCATGTGGCTGTGAAATTTTGTTTCCTGTGTGGGAAAAAGGCCACAAAAACTTGAATACAGCATACAAATACAGCACTATGGAAAAAACTCAAGTGTACTAGTTGTTTTTTCATTTAAATACAAGTGAACTGTCAATTGATGACAATCCTCATTCTGGATGTCTGTCTACTTCCCAAATGGATGAAAATGTCGACTCATAGTGCATTTGGAGTTCGTTCCACCAGGTCAGACTGTTAATCAAGCTTTCTATTTAGAGGTTCTGAAAAAATTGCGTAACAGTGTGCCACAAGAAAGGCTTGATTTGTGGCAGACAGGAGACTGGTTTAGTCATCATGACAGTGCACCTGCTCACGCAGCCTTCTCAGTGCTGCAGTTTTTGGCAAAAACCAGCATGCCTCTCTTGCCCCATGCACCTGACCCCACTCTGTGTGACTTCTTTTTGTTTCTGTGAATGAAGAGGACCATGAAAGGACAGTGGTTTGATGACATAGAAGAAGTGAAGAAAAAAGAAAGTGAAGAAAAAAACAAGGGAGTTGCTATCAGCCATCCAAACATGAGTTTGAAAAATATTTCCAAGAATAGAATCACAGATTTGACAAATGTGTTAAGTGTAATGGGGAGTACTTTGAAAATGATAAGGTTGTTTTGTAAAAAAAAATGTAAATACAAAGCTTTGAAAAAATTCTGCGGTTCTTTTATGGGTACCGCCTCGTATACACATGGCAACAAGAGAATGTCGAGCACAGATAGGGGAACTAGATCTCTTTGAATCCCCACATTGTGATTTGTGCGTGCCCTTAGCCCACCTTACTCACTGTGGCCCTTGATTCCTGCAACAAGTGCCGTGGAGGAGATTCATCACAGGATTTTCACAGTGAAAATAACATTTCATTCAGCCCATGTGTCAGAGGGGGATGGGATGCAACTGCCACACCGTCCAGGCTTTGTCTTTTCTGGCAGAAAAGCCTGCATTTGTTCTTTATATGAGGAGTGGGTAGTGGTTGGCTTTTTACTACAGAGGAGATAAATACAACAAATGCAAACTTTTGTCCAAGGCTTTATGATAAAGAGTCAGGAGGGGCTTTTGTTGATCCGTCAGACCAGAATTGGGAAGGGCTCGGGAGATGGCTGGCTCCCATTTGTTGTCTTGAGGGGAACTTACTGATGCCTACTCTTCCCCTGTGTGTTCCTCCTTTCCCTCTTTTTTCTTTGTCAGTGTTCCTGCCTATTCCACGCGTTTGGTCCTACTTCATCTGTCTTTATCCCTTATTGATATCTTAACCTGCTCCTCCCTGTTTTCAAAGCAATTGCTAGGGCTACTGTCCTTCCTCTTACCTTGCAGCTTAGCCGTCAGAAAGTGAATGTGGGACCCAAGATGGTATTTGGACTGACGTTAAGGCTAAGGCATAGGATGGAACCAGGGCTCTGCCTGGGCCTTTGCCTTAGGCACTAATCAGAAGGAAGTACCTGTGTGTGACGCATTTGCTGCAGTGTATGTTTGGCTTTCGTGGAGATTTTAGTATGAATTATAGCATGTTATGATGAGTTGCCGCAGGCTGAAAGTGGATAATACTCATTTTGTTGATTCTTACACATTCAATTCTTCAGGAGAAGAGAAAAAAACGTTTACAAACCCTGCTGTGAGATCCCTGAATACACGTGCAGTTGTAATACTTCAGAGCAGCGGTTCTCAACCTGGGGGTTGAACGACCCGTTCACAAGGGTCGCCCGATTCATAACAGTAACAAAATGACAGTTATGTAGTAGCAGTGACAATAATTTTATGGTTGGGGGTCACCACAACATGAGGAACTGTATTCAAGGGCATGAGGAAGGTTGAGAACCGCTGCTTTAGAGATTTATAAGCAGCATGCAATCAATCCTTCTTTCCCATTTAGATTCCAGCCCCAGAACAAGTTGAAAAAGCTGGTGTGAGCAACATAGTGGAAGCCAAACTCATTGTTTTCTTGACCTCACAGTTTATTAAGGTAAGTTAGAATGTGTTGTGTTTTGAGGACTAATAGTAAGGCTACAAGAGCTGTTAGATCTCTCTCGTGGAAGAAACATACCTTGGTCCTTGGCTTCGCTCAAGAAAGAATTCCCTCCGCAGCCTGGATGTTGGTCCAAGTGAGCTTCATGAAAGGTAAAAGAAGCTTCAGGTTTACACAGGCACCTCAGGGCACTTCACCCTCGCACGTGGAATCCTGAGGCCAGAGGACATCACTGCACGGCCTCCAGGGGGCAGCCTGAGATGCTGAAGGGGCTGTAAGGCTCTCGATTCTGCTTTTCAGGTCCTCCGCTGGGAGGCGTGGCTGAATTGAATTCCCCTGGCCCAGATGGACCAATCCAGGTGTAACGCCCACCTAGGTGTACCGCCCCTTCCTGGCCTGAAGCTCGAACCTCTGAGCATGCGCAATGGATGCCCCAGGCCCTGTGCTAGTTACCTGAGAGTTGCAGAAAGTTAGTTGTAAAGAACTTAGGCTTTGGCCTTAACCCTTGTCTATTAAGGGGTCTGACGCCTAACTGATTTTGTTTTTAGAAAAACTTTAAGACGTGAGTTTTTAGTGATGTTTTGGGTTTCCCCTCAGGATATCTTGTAAAAGTCAAATAATTCCAGTTATGTTGTACTGTGCTCTTGTCCGTCGTCAGGGAGGGCGAGGAACCTCCTTGTGTAAGAGAGCAGAAAGTGAACGTATGTTTTGTATCTGTTTCCTCTGGCAGCACTGTTAGTGCCACACAAACCAGTGTGCTATCGCGAGAGATTTAATTATGAGAAACAAGGACAGAGCTATAGAGCAATCCAATAGTTGCATCTATACCTTTGATAAAATAAGAACATTCACTGTACACATCAGTTGGGCACACAATATTATAAATATTCAATTTAATAGATTTAGAAAGGCCTAAATGTCTTAACAATCAGGATCTTTCATTTGAAATTGTGTCCTTTTCTGTTTAGGCTGGATGTAAGCCATCTGATATTGGTATCATTGCACCATACAGGCAACAATTAAAGATAATCAATGATTTATTGATAAGTTCTTCTGTTGGGACGGTGGAAGTTAATACAGTTGACAAATACCAAGGAAGAGACAAAAGTATCATCCTAGTATCTTTTGTTAGAAATAATATGGATGGAAATGTGAGTTAATTATTATTATTATTATTATATACTGTTTCCTTTGAGACATTTTAAATGTTTTGTAAACTTTTGACTTGGTAGATCATTCTAGATGTTTTGTTTTTCATTTGTACTACTCTTTGCTTATAGAATACGTCTATAGGGTTTAAAAATTATATGCAAAAATAGAGTAAAATGTCTGTGCCCTACCCCATCCCATAGCTATTCAGTTCCTATCGCCTCCTGAGAGTTGATGAGTTTTTAGTTTCTTTCATAATATTCGAGGTTCTCTATGCATAAGTAAGCAAAGATGAATCTATATTTCCTCTCCTCACCTTTTACATAAAAAGTAACATTCATACAGCACATTGTGGAATGCAGCTGAAGTGAGTACCCTTCAGCTTGGAAGAGAAGGTTTTGCTCTTGGCCCCTGCCCCATTGTGATCCTTTTAGGTGGGTGGGAGGGGCCAGGTAAGCCCTTGCATGGGATGCCCCCTCCTTCCCGTGACGGAAGTGCTGCCATGTTGAAGCATTGCACAAAGGAGGGAGGCTGACTATTTCGGGGGTGGGAAATTTGGTATTCCCCGCAAGACTCCATCCCTGGGCACCCCTGGGCACCCCAGGAATTCAGTGGTTGAGCCTGGAGGGGTTGTTTTTGGCATACGTGGTCATCCCAGTGTCCAGAGCAGGCGACATTCAAGTCCCCAGGTGGTCTTGAGCTCGTTAGGATACGAGGACCCAGCTCCCAGTCTGGCCTGTTTCAGCTGGAGAGGTCCAAGAGAGCTGGTGACCCTCAGTCCCACTGTTCTTGGGCAAGTGTGTACGGTTCAGGCTTCAAACACGGAATAAAATATTTTTTCTATTTCTTTTAAAAAAAATCTTTTTATTGGGGGCTCGTACAACTCTTATCACAATCTATACATGCATCCATGTGTCAAGTACTTTTGTACATTTTTTGTCCTCATCCTCAAAACATTTGCTTTCTACTTGAGCCCTGATGTCAGCTCATTTTTCCCTCCCCCCCCCAAACCCTTGATAATTTATAAATTATTATTTTGTCAGAATAAAATAACTTTTTGAAGGGGGAAAACATTGTGGAAAATGTCATTATGTTTTAATTCTACTGTTTCCATCAATTTATTGAAGTCTCGTGTATACATTCTGGACCTCACTTTTTCCATGTAACAAGAGTTTGGAGATATTTCCATGTCAGTACACAGAGATTTCATTGTTTTACATAGTACTGTTTTCTGTTTATGATGTGTCATAATCTATTTAAACACTCCCCTTAGTCTTTTAGTATTACAATTTTTTATTACTATCACAAACAATGCTACAATGAGAAGGAAGAGCACTGATTCTTTACTATGTATATTTAATTATAAAATAGTTAAGGTTTGCATAATGGGTAATTGTTTTCAAGTATCAAGACTTAAATATGTTTATGAAGCCTTTTTGCAAACAATGTAGGAAAGTAGTTCAAGGTCAGCCGTAGTCTTTGTTAGAACAAATTCAAATAATTGGATGTATAATCAGAAAATCGAATTGAAAATTGTATTTCTTACAGCTTGGTGAACTCTTGAAAGATTGGCGACGTCTTAATGTTGCTATAACCAGAGCCAAACATAAACTGATTCTCCTGGGATGTGTGCCCTCACTAAACCACTACCCTCCTTTGGAGAGGCTCCTCTGCCATCTGAACTCGGAAAAATTAATATCCTTTTCAGTCTGTTTATGGTCATGTTTGATTATGCTCTGTTATGTGGATTATATTTATGTACTTGTGTAAATCAAAACTCAATGCCCTGTATTTTCTGTCAGCATATTTCAAAGATCTGATTCTATATAAGAGAGAAAAAAACATGGACAATCAGTAAGGTTAAGGAAATAATGAAGGTGAGAAAGGGGATCGTATGTAAAATGAGAAAAGGGAAAACAAGGACCTGATCTTAAAACTACATTCCCAGCACATTTAAGAAAATTGGTTATTATTTCTGGTTCTTCTGGCCCCAAATTCAGAATACTTTTTTTTTTTTTTAAATCAAGGCCCATCACTGTGGAGATTGTAGTAGGATTTTTTGAAAACTATTATGTGTGGTTACATATTGGCTAACTGTCCTCCTTAACCTGTCTCACATCATTGATCTTCCATCAGGAGAACATGCAAGTCTTTGTCACGCATTAGGTGCTTCTCAAAGGGGATAAGACACTGCATTCCTTCCTCTTTCGCACCCGGCGATGATTTCCTCTGGTTAGCACAGACTGTTGGCATTGTGACTGTGCCGGGAAAGTCTTGCCTGCTCAGACCACGAAGAAACGCGTCCCCAAAGGCGACGAAATGAAGTAAAGGTGTTCTGTTCAGAGTTCTAGATTTTTTCCTTTTTGTACAAGTTTACCCAAAACGGAATTTTAAATTTATAGGTAATTGAAAATGTGTTATTGTATGACTTTGAAGAGCAGATACATTTTACCAGCTTCAAATATGGATTAACTTTGAATTTAAGCCTGAACTTTCAAATCTAAGTATTGTGGACTAACATGGTTTTGTAGATTTTATGGTAGAAATTTTATTAGTATTCAATCTGAGTAAAGAAAGTTGATTTGCTTATTGATTTAAATATAGGTATAGTTTTGTGCTATGTTTGTAGGTCCCTCATTCAAAGACCATTTTGTGTGTTTTTTTCCCCCTACCATCAGATACGTTTTTTAGCTTAAAGCTAACCTGTTACATTAGGACTTATTATTTCCAGTAATGCTTTGTTCCCACTCCACCGTTTTATTTTCAGTATCCTAGAGTAGATTTTTATTACAAGCAAATCATGCTTACCTGCTTTTGAGAGGAAATAATGACAAATTAAAAATCATATTTCTGTTTTCAGCATGCATGTTTGTATGTGCCTCTCCATTATTACTGTTTTCCTTTTTATATGTGAAGTTTCTTTTTGTAAAGCAAAGTTGCCTCAAAATCATTCATTATGTGGAGGTGACAGATTTCACCTCAGTGTTTGTATGTTCCAGGGAGGAATTTCCCATTTCTCTCAAGGACTCTTTGCTTCTACCTCAAATGGTTTTGAAAATTTTATCATTAAGTTTTCATTAAATAAATTATTTTCTGTTTACTGTGTGAATTATTAGTTTATTCATAATTATTATTCAATAATTAAGTTCAGCGTTGTCTACCTTTTTTTTTCTACAGTAGAAATAGGTGAAATACTGATTATGCTCTAAAACCAAAAACAAGAAGTAATAACATTCTAAAGAGATTTATGAAGGACACACAACATGGTCTTAATCATGAATTGTATTAGAGTGGCCAGACAGAAAAACTGCAAAGATTACAGTGATAGGACTTCAATAAATACTGATGAGTGATTATAAAATAGGAAGGAATCTGCTAATTTCAGTTCCTGGAGTGAGGTAAACAGGAAAGTTCTTTGGATTGTACTCAGTGTCAATTCATTCCCAGTCTTTCCTGAGAAGTTAGCCCCTTACAACCTAGGTTGAAGTTCCAGGTTTTCTGTCATTTCTGGATCAATTTTTGATGACACTGTTCTGACCATTTAAGTATTTGAAAGAGTTAAGGTAAAGTGAGTTGGAGGCTTGAGTAAATTAACCCCAGACCAGATCCTCAAAGAGTTAACAGTACAGTACAAGTGTAACTATAGCAGTGGCAACAATTCCACTAACCTTATTGGGTATTCAGTTTTATTGTGTACTTTGCTCACAAAGTATAAACCTAGACAAGGCCTTCCTTGTAGTATGATAAGAAGACTGTTCATTACAGGAGCCCTATTCCTAACTTAGTTCAGACTTTCTGGCTGCCAACCTCTTCCTCTAGTGGAAAAATGGAATTAAAAGAACCATGGCTTCTCTGGTTCCTTTCTGTCCCTAAAGGCAGGTCTTCCACAGAGCTGTTTGGTCTGGTCCTCTTCTCCCCAGGCATCTACTTGCTCCAAGCATCACCCGTGTGACTATTACCAATTCTGTGCATTACTCTCTCTCCTTTCCATGTTTTAGTTACTGCCTACAGAATATTTTCAGATTCAGTACACACAATATGAAAATTTCAATCTCATTTAATGCCTTTCTCCTGTGATCTTCATTTCTGTAAATGTCATCTTCTAGGGTCACTATCATCCAACTCATGGATCACCATGAACTGTCATTGATTCAATCAATGGCAGTGAGTGAGAAAGCAACCTTATAGTTATTAGAGCTTTCAAATCTTGGGATAATTCCTTTCCTTTGAAAACTTTTCTCTCTACCTGATTACAAAGCAGCACACGATTAAAATAATATTGTCTTGTGCCCTCCATTATGACTCATAGTCACCCCACGTGTTACTGAGCAGAACGACTCCAAAGGGTTTTCTTGGGTGCAGTTTTCATGGAAGCAGACTATCAGTGAGCTTTTGAGAGTCTGTGCTTGTTGGCAAAGCCCCCGCGGTAGGAGACGGGCAGTGTTAGATTACCCACGAAGCAAGCTAAGTATGGCTTTGTGCTTAGTTACAGATCTTTAAGAGGCAATTTAACATTTTCCCACCATATCAAAGATTCTGCTTCTAGGTAGGGCTGACCTCTGTCAGAGTCTCTCCTAACCCCACCCCATCTTCCTGCAGAATGAAAGGCTCTTTTCCTATCAGCAGTCCTCCTGACAGGGCAGGCGTACCAATGCCAATTTCACATCAAGTGAAATAGTTCACTGCAGATAAACACAGGCGAACCCCAGGGTTCCTTGTTTGTTGGGTAGCCCGCCCCTTCGGCTCCTCGCCCGAGATCTCTTGCAAGCACCTTTTCCTCTCCATACCCTCCGCGGCGGGGGCGGAAATCTTCCGTGGCT